GGTGGAATGAACTTGTTTCATCAAATTGACGCCCAAGTGGTCCAGGGTACGACAACGTGCAGATCCTGAAAAAAAAGAGTAAGGTGAGCGTGTTTTGATTGTCCCTGGTCATGACATTTTCTCCTTCTTCTTTCAAACTCCTTTATCTGAAATTTCTATTCTATTTTGCTTTTCTTGTCTACTCGATCAGTTATGATATTTCTACGTACATATTTCGCGGTTGTACAAGATTGATGCTCACCTCTCAAAATCTCATTTCGTTAATTGAGCAGGATGTGCAAAGTATGTTAACTGTGCCCATAGGGCACGCATTCGTTATCATACAACCGATAAAACGTAGACTTATTCACTTTGCAAAGATGACAAAATATTTATGAAACAACAATTATTAGCAGCACGAACCGACGACCTTGAATACGATGAGAACTATCGATGACCAAAAGTCTAGATAAATAATTTTTTATTGGAGAAATTAATGGGAATATGTTTAGGCGCTTACAGCAACTATGGCAAAGGGTATGCTACGGAGGGGTCTGGGGATTACTGGTGGAAAGATGGTCACCTCGAAAAATAAAAAATGAATGAATATGGGTTATGGTTAACCATTCCCCATGCCTTTCAACGATATGATTGGACGTATGTTAGTCATGAGGATCATGTCGCTCATTTCATGGTACGTATCACAAAGAATGATATCGATCGAAATCAATGTCAGTGGTATGATATTCGTGACGATGTAAAATATATAGTTAAGAAGTGTTTGGCATGCGCCATGAATGAAGTCATGATCCATGTTCTTAGTATAATCGTATCGACTAAGGGGAATGTCATTTTCAACGTGTGAATATGGATGCGACAAATATGCATGTTGCAAATGGACCTAATAAATGTAAATATAATACTTTACCGGTCCTGATTTATCATTTTATAAAATAGATAGAGGCCTACCCCTGTAAAACACATAAAATGTTGGAAATAGCCCTTATATTGACAGGTTTGTGGGAGCTCGTCATGATACGGAGGAGTTTTTAACGGATAATTGGTCTAAATTTGGAGGGAAGTTGAATAAATTATGTCTTAAAGGAGCGTCATGCTTCGACACAGAGGCCCGCATAAGTCTTCATCGAACAGGTTGGCAGATAATAACCGTATGATTAAACAACACTTAGATGGACATGCGACCATGACCCAAAATTGTATATTCGATAATAGTCATCCATTAGGCCACACCCTATGAGTCGATTGGATTAACCTCCTTTTTGGTTATGAACCAATAGTATTACATACGTCACTATGATGACCGCTTCGAAAAATGTCAAGCCAAAGGGTTGTGATACCCAGGCCTCAATGAAGGACAAGGTTAAGCGATGGAGCGGGCCTTCCCCATGTTAGCTAACAAAGAGCAAAAAATGACAAAACTATCCTATGGTAGACACGTTCGTAGCTATAAGGTTCGGAATGGGAATGTTGGGCCCATAATCCATTATAAATTAGGTGAGCTTGTGAAGGTTAGAAATTGTGCATGCGACGACAAGATGGTTCCCGAGTACTATGGCTGCTTCCACATTTTTTAGCTTGGTCCGAACGCCATCACACAGTACGGATAACTCCCGCAGTCGGCGGAACCCATAGCTCCCTTCTGATCGTTCGCCGCGTGTCCTACCTACATCCTCTGCCTCCTTCCTTTGAGTCTCCACCCCCCTTTTCAACTTCGTCCGATTCAGACAGTGATTGCAATTATGATCCCGCCTCTTCCCCTCTTGATTCTCTCTCTTCTCAAACGTAAAGCTCCTTCTAAGCCACGCGTAGCAGCTTCCATATTGTGATTGAGGTTGCAATAGATCGGTCATCCCTTCATCTCCTATCCTACTATGCGTGGTTTGCAACACGTATTTACTCGTTGTTTTGTCACCACCATCAAAAAGTTATTAGGGCATGACCCTCTCATGATTTGTTTTGAGAGTTCAATTGGATTTGGTAAGTTTCGCAGTGAGAGTTCGTGAGTATCGTTTTTTTTCACTAGTTTTCAGGGTAACGTTCGAGGAATTTCCTCGAAGATCGGCAGAGCTATTCGCACAAAATTAAGAGAGTTGTCGGAGGATATCAAGATCGAGTGGCATTTTCACCTCGCCTAGACAGACCCGCCTCCCCCCCGACGTTGGATCAATACAATATGTGTCTGTAGCGGCTCATAGATTGTCCCAATCCTAATTCCTATCCTATCCCTTGGCATGATCTTATCTTCCGAAAGGGCCATCTCTCCCTATGATGTCCCTGCTTCTTTCTTCCTTTTCCCTCCCCACTAGTTTCTTTTGCATTTTCTATACTTCCTACAAAGTAACTCTCTTCATCCACCTTGAGTCTCTACCACTTATAGAAGTGTCCCCGACTGATTAATATCGATTTTCCAAAGAGGGATGTCCTTGTCTTTCGCTTTGTCTTGTCCGCCTTTCCTTTCATTACACAAATCCTATTTGTTCCCCTTTCTTGGTAGAGTTGATGTGCATTCAAGTGCGATAAGTGGCGAGGTCACTCAAGGGTGAGTTTCTGGGTTTGTTGGCCAAGAATCTACCACACCACACTCGAGAAGTTGTTGTCCAAGAGGTGACACCTTCCAATATATCAAGGACACTTTGAACGTGGATTTGGATAATTGGTCCGATAATGTTGGGTTTATCCCGTTGGTGAGGGTATTGACTCCTTCATTGCAATGGCCTTCGTTGGGAGAGGGTAATTCTCCGAACGTGCTGTTTTCTTAGTATGCTCATCTTCAGATTCTGCTTCAGCATCGGTACTTCTGGCGGACCTCGACATACCTCGACTATATTGGTTGCCTTCGTTCGCCGAACAACAACACCTATAACCACAATTCGAAGCGAGTGAATCTTTCGAGGAATCTTCGACTGCATTGCAACCGCCTTCCTCCTTTCTCCTTTTTTGGTTGACACTCCCTTTTCGACTTCCTGATGTCCCCCTAGGCCGTTCCTTTTTTTTTCATCCCCGCATTATTTGCAGGCCCTTCCTCTCCTCCTCCTGCATCCCCATCCTCCCCTATATGCGCATACTCCTAAATAATGTGGTAAAACGTTCGTGCCTCCCTCGTCCTCTTTGCATCGGTATTTCCTGTGTGTGTGTGTGTGTGTGTGTGTGTGTGTGTGTGTGTGTGTGTGTGTGTGTGTGTGTGTGTGTGTGCGCGCGGGTGCACAGTGGGGGGCCGGGAGGTTGGGAGACTGTTACATGCACAAATATGCAATGTACGTAATAAACCGAGAATCTGCAATGTGATGAAAAGGACTGAATAGACAATGCGGTACGCGTAGAATCTCGACAAGCAATGTACATTTTCATTCATACATAAAGATGCTGAAGAGCGCAAGGAAGACTTTGATACAAAGACTGACCTGACATGACTGACCTCATTCACGTAGTTCAAAGTAACGAAGCAGAATGCTAGAGTACCTCTAACTAGCCCAATCAATGTTTGAACTCAAACTAACATGCATTGTATCCATCACGAAGTGTGAAGGAGCCTGGCACTGCACACAGGAAGAAAACGTCAGGTCCAGACATACACAAACGAAGAGATAAGGGGCAGAGGAAAGGAGGGAAGAAGATGGGAATGTCGTTAACACCAAGTCTTGGTCACCAATCCCAAATAGTCCCTCGTTGCCATG